AGAGCTCATAGTCTGAGTTTTGTTGCGCTGCCATTTCGATTTGCCGCTATGTGTACAAAGTTTGTAGTGTTGAAGTGCTTTAGTTCAATAAATGACTAGACGCGTAAATGGAAGAGACGCGTCTGAGAAATGCTCAATTCCTGCGCCAGTAATTAATTGCCTGCTAAAATGCTATCTCGTCCTCCTTAAACAGGGCACATGAATTGAATCAGTAATATTGTGTAATGTTTCCACATATCAATTGATATGATGTGCTGTAAACTCATGGACTCTCTATCCCATCATGAGAAGTCAAGTCTAAATAATTGACACCTAAATCGCAAGGCGTCAGCACTGAATCTCAGCTGTCAAGAAAAACAACCCCGCGAACATTGTGGCTTGACTGACTGACGGAGCTTCAGTGGCTCGGCCGAACTGTACGTCACTCTCCCGTGCTCAGTGGACTCAGGCCCAACCCAAATGGAACTGCGGGTAAACCTTCAGCGGCTCGTCTATCCCAACCTCACCTCACTCCTTCATTCCTATAGCAATCCGATACCTTTAGGTCTTCGCCATGTCCAAATACAAGGATATTATGAAAAATGGGTGGCATCCTGAAAAGCCCGGCAGCAGCTTGAAAGGTCAAGTTGTAAGCAGCCTCTCCGCTCTCTTTCTTACCTGCTTCTGAAATCAATGGCTGACATACTCGCAGAAAGGACTCGTTGGCAGAGGAAAGTCTGAGGACGAGGACCGAGGTAGTCACGTTTCTGTTCCGCTGTCCCAACTAAAGGATCCTTCAAGCTTTGCACCACCTCCCAAACGTACCGGTTCCGGTCTTCTTCCACCACCTCCAAAGGCCGAGTCGGCACCTAGAAAGGTTATCACCGCTCCTTCGAAATACCAGGATCCGAGAGCACCGGCCCCTCAAGAACCCGTGTATGCCGAGCCTGAGGAGGAATATGAGGAACAACCCCAACATCGTGGTCCTTATCGCACAAATACTACAGGTCTTTCAACAGATAATCTACCGAAGCCTCCCGGCCGCAGAGATGGCGCTGACGGACGTTCGGGGCAACCGCCTTCGTATCAATCTGCAATGGCGGGTGTAGGAGGCGGAGGAAGAGCTGCACCTCCGAGCTTACCACCACGACTACCCCCAAGGACAAATTCTGGAAGCACCATTGCAAGCTCACCCGCTGCTAGTCCTGCGCCCACAGGCAACGGTCTATTGAACCAAGGAGCAGTCAATCGCCTAGGTGCAGCGGGGATATCAGTTCCTGGCTTTGGTATTGGCCGTTCCAGTCCGGCAGCCGAAGCCTCGCCTAGCCCACCTCAACCTCCACGACCTGGTGTCGCGTCACCACCTCCAGCACCTGCTGCATCACACATGAGTGAACTGCAGAACCGATTCTCGAAGCTTGGAACATCATCTAGCGCTAGCACAGCACCACCTCCACCGCCTAGCGAGGGCACCACGTGGGCTCAAAAGCAAGCGGCCCTCAAGACCGCCTCGTCATTCCAAAAGGATCCTTCTTCGGTCTCTCTCTCCGATGCTCGAGCTGCTGCCAGTACAGCCAACAACTTCCGCCAACGTCATGGCGAACAAGTTGCTGCTGGAGCCAAAACAGCAAACAACCTGAATCAAAAGTATGGACTTCTCGACAAGGCGCAGAATTCTTATTCTAGGTTCCAAGGCAACCAAACACAAAGTCAAAATGAAGAGACTCCCTCTGCACCAGCATCGCCCGGATTGGCCAGCGTTGTTGGAAAGAAGAAGCCTCCTCCACCCCCGCCAAAGAAGAAGCCGGCTCTTTTGGGTGCTTCAGCTGCTCCCGCCAACGATGAACCACCTCCCATTCCTATGGCAACCAGGCCACAATTCTAAGTTACAAGAATCCGTGTTATACGCACAGCATTGCCAGGCGCGCATATAGGGGAGTTTTTGATGTTTCTTGCTCTCTTTGCATCGAGAATCGCCTTCATCACTGCACACAAAAGGGTCAAAAATACAAATTGGTTGGAACTCATGACTGCTTTCTTTTTGTTCATCTCATCGCAATATCTCGGGGATATACCAAGCGCCGAGAACGAGATTCGTGTGGCTCGTAATCTAAATAACTGCTCGTCCGTCTGTCGTCACAAACAAGGCAGACCAAAAACATCACCACGTCACTACATCCGCTTTAGACCTTCATCTCGGTAAGACCGTGCTTCCAGACGGTGATGTAGGGGGTGACACCATCATCACGGTAGTTGAGGAGGACAACCCTGTAGATAATTAGTCTCCTAGAAACCACAGACTCGGTAATAAGTGGCAAACTTACATGCCGTCGGGGTTCATGGACTCGCCAGTAAGGAACTCGAAGTCCTTGAACTTGGCAAGGACGACGTTCTTCACATAGTTCTGGGCACCCTTCTCGAAGGCAGTGATCTCCTCGGCGGAAGCACCCTTCTCCTGGAGAGCAGCCTTGACAGCCTTCATGTAACCTGGAATTGTCAATTTCTGATATAGTGGATTTCGATGGATTGGCTTCTATGTACCCTTGAGGTAGGTGAGGTAGCTCTTCTTGTCGAAAGAGGTCTCCTGGAGACGGAAAGAGCTGACGATGTTGTTGACCTTGACGACCTGGTCCTCGAGATCCTCGGCGGCCTCCTCGGCGGAAGCGTTGGCACCAATGTCTGTGGATAATGTTGTTAGGGCAAAATTGAACCTTGTTTTACACCAGCCTGGGGCTTTGATGCTGGTCGTCACGTACCGACGTTAACGCCGCCCTCCTCGATCATGGCACAGTCGGCCTCGTAGACGATACCATCGACCTCCTTGAGATCGTAGGAGTCGGAGATGAGCTCGTCACCGGTGAGGATATCCTATTGTTGCGGGGTTCAGCGACAGATCATGCGAATAAGACAAAACAAGACAAGAATCGAGCGCGGGGTAAGAGTAGGCGGGGTACTACTCAAGGTGATGAGACGGATTTGTTCGTGGTCGTACCTTGTAGATAAGCATTTTGGCGGTTGGAGTCGATTAGACCTTTGAGGATGAGATGGGATGGAGAAGAGGAGAAAATGAAGCTGATGAGACTGGCAAAGAGGAGCAAAAGCCAAAGGGAGAAACAGAGCCTGATGATAATAAAAATCTAGAGCCAGTGGCGGGGTAGTGGGGCTCGAGTACCTTAGCGGCACGCAAACTGAAAAAGCTCACTGAACAACGCCGTAAAATTTTTCCGTGGCCGGTTCTTGTCAACCAATTAGATTCATGGAGTGGGCCTCGAAAACACCAAATCGGTCTCTCTGCTCATATCACGTTTTGGATGAAGAGTTAAACTGCCAAATGGGAAATGCTAAATCAGAGCATAGATCTTAGCATTGTGGGCTTCTTAGCGAGAGGCTATTAAGCTAAGAAAAACAAAACAAAAAAAAACTTTTCGGTGTAGTTGTAAGCAACGAAGGATTGTACTTGTTTTGATCCTCTGGCTACGGTAGCGAAAACTACACCTGAGCTGACCACCAAATTGGCTATGCGCTGACGAGTGGTGGAAGCGAACTTTGACTGATCCGCGGACGACACTGTAATATAATAGGCCAGCACTAACCCAATAGAATTACACCGCGGACGGCAATGCTGAGCTGCATCTCATGCGTCATGGAAAATACATGTACTGCCGATTACCAGCATTGCATGTCCCATAACGAGTATTTTTCCCGAGTCCCAAGCAGCCGAAATCAGGCTTTGCACCCGGAGTCCGAGAGGACCTATGATCTTCAAGGCCTGACAAGATCAACCAGGGGTTCCGTGTTTGCCCCGGATTTATACGCGGATTTGGAACCGAACGGCTTCATGCGATGCCATGCTCAGGGAAAGGGAATCTACGAAAGAACGGGTGGGCTGGCTGGGCTGGCATGATCCATCTGCCTCTCGGTTCAGTTAATCTCAACATGCAGACGAGCTGTAAGAAGCCACTCTGCCTTGACAGCAGACATATGACCTGTTGGTGACGTTTCAGTGGTATGAGCCAGGAGAGGCTTCGCAAGGCTTGCCCTGTGTCTAGAGGAATGAGCAGGCGATGGAAGGCCAACATGAATTGACAGGGAGGGCAGGCGTAAGATATTCGTACGTTTTCTGAGTCCATTGAGCAATGACAGAACGTGAAGCCCCTTTAATAACAGAGATATCACAGAGCTGATGAGTGTGATGTTAGATTAACACATGTGATTTGACAGAGTCACTGACTGTCTAACGCGTGGGCTGATCCGCCACTCCCGGCCACGGTCATGGGCATGATGCGACCTCATGGAATTGCTCTTCAGGAGATGACGATTGTGAGAACTGTAAAGACACTTGTACATGAAATAACGCATGATAATGTCGCATTCGTAAAGTATCGTCTACAAAAAGGAGATTGATTAGTCTCTTGGCGTGGGTTTGGAATAATTGGACCTCTTCCCAGCTGCACAGTACAGTCCTAGAGTCTGTCCGCTGATTGATTCTACTTTGCACTCCGAAGCTCCCGGACCAAAGCAGGGCGCAGGGCTGCCTCCGTGTCTGCAGATACTGTATCATCAGTGTTTTTTCGCTTGTACCTGAGGTGGGTTGCCACTTTAAGTGACCCAGCGGTGCGAGCGATTGGACGACACGAGCCTTAATCTAATCTTCTGGCCCCAAATCAAGTTAGCTAGCTACCTAGGTAGGTACCTTGGGTACTGTATGTACCTTGCCTTGCCTTGCCTCGATTTGCCTTGGAGTCGGGTTTTATTAACTTGCCATTGCCATCGCAATCGACATCGACGCTCCCTTTTCCTAAATCTCTTGTATCCTCCAGGTCTAGCCTCCAACTCTTCCTACCTTCATTTGTTGATCGAGACTCTATTAATTGTTTGTTTCGTTTTGTCGCCTACAGTTTCGCCTCACGTACGGAACTGAATAAATTGTCTCCTTTCACTCTTTCACATCATCACCAACTAAAACGTTATAACGCGACCGCAGCATCGATACCTTAGCCAACTTAATTCCTGAACCCGTCATGGGCAACGACAGCTCTATTCTCGCCGACGGCTCCGCCATGGCCGTGCCCGGCACCTCATTCAACCATACGCTCTTCGAAACAGCTTTGCCACCGCTGCCAACATTTAGTCTAGAGGTCCAGCCTGATCTCTTTCCTTGGGTCTCCGACTTTTGGCTCAATTTGTTACTCCCTGTTGTTGTGTACTGGGTCCTGTCCCTGACATTCCATGCAATCGACGTCAACGACTGGTTCCCCCAATATCGACTACACACGCCCGAAGAAATCACCAAACGCAACCACGTCTCCCGCTTTGAGGTCGCCCGCGATGTTATCCTGCAGCAGATCATCCAGGTCGTCACCGGCGCTCTTCTCGCCTTGTCCGAGCCTCCGGAGATGATTGGAAAGAGTGAATTCGACGTTGCAGTCTGGGCTACTCGCATCCGTATCGCGCAACGAGCTCTGCCAACTGTGCTCGGCCTCGTCGGCCTCAATGCTACAGCAATCTCCAAGAGTCTCCTTGACACTCATCCCCTGCTGGCCGGGGCTGTTGCTGGCGGCTACTACCCATCGCTGGTGGGCGCGAACAATGAACCTGCTTTCGCCTCTTGGGAGATGACATTGGCCAAGACCATCTACTACTTCCTGATCCCTGCTGTTCAGTACTTTATTGGCGCTGCTATCATCGACACTTGGCAATACTTCCTCCACCGATTGATGCATGTCAACAAGTGGTTGTATGGTAAGCTCCATCCACACAACAAAGCTGCTTCATTTCAATAACGCGATCGCTAACTCTGTTCAATAGTTCATTTCCACTCTCGCCACCACCGTCTTTATGTCCCTTATGCTTATGGTGCTCTCTACAACCACCCGGTTGAGGGATTCCTGCTCGACACCCTCGGTGCCGCCGCCGCATTCAAGGTCACCCGCATGACTCTGCGCCAGGGCATCCTCTTCTTCTCAATGTCCACAATCAAGACAGTCGACGACCACTGCGGCTACGCGTTCCCATGGGACCCTCTCCAGATCGTCACCAGCAACAACGCTGAATATCACGATATTCACCACCAACACTGGGGCATCAAGACCAACTTTGCTCAACCCTTCTTCACTTTCTGGGACACTCTTCTCGATACCAAGTACAGGGGTTCCAAGACCAACAAGCCTAGCCAAAGGAAGGCCAAGGTCGAGGAAAAGGCTCAGTAGATTTTGATTTTGAGGCATTGGCATATGAACTTTTGGATTTCAGCATAAGGAGCACATGATTGTACAGTCCCAACAAAACAAGAAAACCAAGCATCAGTATTTGATTAATTGGGAATCGCCGGATTGCGATATGGTTGTTTAATCTTATCAAGGGGGGCGCTTTTTGTTATGGTTTTGGATCGGTTTGGGCATGACGGCAATTTCAACATCGACACTTATCATCGCGGCTCGAAGCTTGCCGTAATTTTTATCAACCTTTAATTCATGGCTTTAATGAGGCGCCTGATGGACCAACTCCTTGGGCCTAATACGTTCTTCCTACTTTCGTTATTCTTACAAACTCCCATTCTTATCCTGCCACCAGCCCCATCGCCACAATCCAAGGGTCTGGTAGTGCAGTGCCAGGGCTGGCCTTCCGAGAACGGCGGTGTTGGGTAAACGAGGGTCTTCCAGCCTATTTTCTTTTCATCTGGATTTGTAACATTATTGTCAAGAATGAGATACAGAGTCGGGTTGGTTAACGGCGCACAATTAGTATGTGATATGATAGGCCTCGGGTCCCTGTTCCTGTGTATCGGAAACGGGTATGGCCAGAAGGAGGAAGAAACCGAGTGAGAAGATGAATAACTGCGCAGATGTACGACGCTGTATTTCGGTTTGGTTCTCAGGATAGCCCCCAGTAACGGAATATTAACAGTTCTTTCTGTAACCATGTCGATAACTATTGGATGCCAACGTGATCCTATCCACTGGTGGTTACTCTGAGTCTGTATGTGTGGTTTGAGATGGGGTTGGGAGCCCCCTGTGGCGAGGCCTATAGCCTATAGGCAATACTAGAATGACATCAATGAAACCATCTAGATATTTTGGGCATCAAGTATCGATTCTTGCGGTCATTGTTAGATTGGCAGATGGGTCAATGATTCATTAATTCAGGGTCATTGGGCAAGTAATTGGCCACGGTACTTTAACATCTAGCATTTGAGAGGTACTACAGAGGCAAGACCACAGTCAGGATCTCGACTTATGGCTGCAGGAGGACTCTTCCCATATCACATATATTAGCGCCAGTTATCATGTGAATCTAGATGTGTAATGCGTCACTCGGCAATAGTCAAAAATCGAGACTGCCCAGCTCCATCTTCATGTCAGTCGGCCTACCCTATAGAAACAACCCTGTTGAGGAAGAAAGACGTCTCCGATATTATGAAGAGATAAACCATATGCATGCCATGTATCGTAGACCCAAATTTTACATGTCAAGATGAGAAAGGCATATCGTTGCTCACTATCAAGTGATACGTGATATGTTAAAATTAGTTGAGGGTTTGTGGCGTGTAAGAATACGCACTGAGCCAGCGAACTGAAAGGGTGATGAGAATTCGTGACGAGCATCATTTCCTCCGACAGAAATAAACTCCACACTTCAGCTCTACGATAAACAGTCTTAATAAGTCCTAAGACTTTGATGGAAATTTAGTATAGGCCAGGGGAATAACTCGTAACAAACGGCGGTGTTTTCCAATTAACGACGAAACAACGAAACAAACGCTTTGATCAGATGGAGGCTCTCTACGCGGGGGAAATGACAAAATCACCAGCCTCGAAAGTAGATTCGAAGTGCTAACAGCGGCTGGGGGCAATCTAGAAACATTGAAGATCACCAAGCACCGCTTTTGGTTTGTTTGGAATCCAGGACTAAAGTCAAGTTCCGGACCGATAGGTTCGGTTGATGAAGCTGGCATCGGAGATGACGATATTCGCTTGGGGTAGTTCATTAGATGTTTAGCATGTCTGTCTTCTTGCGACACGCTTCACATTGACAGGACGGGATGAGTTCCTGCGAACCCGGGAGAGATTTTCAACGATTGTTTCGGCCTTAAATTCTGTACGTGGTTGCACAGGTAGCCACACATATGTTGGAGGGAAGAGAGAATTTCACAACATCCGAAGCCACAATCAGGGAAGATCCTTTGTTGTTTTCCGTCTTGGCGTTCTGTCACGATGAAGTGTCAATTTTCTTGATTAAATGTTTTCTTTCTCGGCATATTGACGTATCCACACCCACGGCCAGGGAGAAGCTTGATGAGGTGGGAAGGGAGACTTTCCCCCACCAGAAACCGGGTCTCTTGAAATTGAGGCTGAGATATCCGTAGAGATCGGGATGAGAAGCAAGAAAGGGCATGACTTGGCGATGGTACTTCCCTGGAAAGATCCAGACATGAGAACTTGGTGACGTGATTTACTGATAAAAAAGAAAACAATGAATACGGTTGGGGGGACGATGATGCAGGGCGGATGTAGGCTTGATGCATCCGAGACAAGACAAAAGATAAGACAGAAAAAAGCAAATAGAGTTGATAGCATGCATTCTGTCAGTCAGTTGTGTAATTAATTGTGCATATGCACGTAGAAGGCGTTTTCAACGTTGACGATATTTTGTGGCTGTTGTCAACGGTGATGACTGACGTGGTTGATCCAGATACCAATAGATACCTTAGATATCATGTGGTTGATGCCATTCCTACTGCAATGCAAGCCGCAACCAGCGTTGTCTCGTCTTGTTGTCTCGTCTTTCCCTAGGATAATTGATGCATGCGGCCCATTCTCTCCGGTTCTGGTCTGTTTTTCGTCAAGAACCCGCCGACTTTTTGTCTCTCCCTTGAGCTTTGAGCACTAAACGCTCGCTTCTCAAGACAGCTCAGGCGAGTTTCAGAGCGCAGGTTTTCACTGGCCGTAGCTAAGAGGACCCTGAATTTCCACTCAAAGTATGTATTAGTGCCCGGGGGCCGGGAATGGAGCTCACCCTCTCTGTCCGCCCCCTTGGTCACAGCTGAGTAGCATTGGTTTTGGAGCCTGCATTTTCTTGATTCTGTCTGAAGAATGATACATCCTGACTTGATTTCTTCATCATGTCGCGACGCAGAGACTGTGTTTGTTTATCCCAGCTGATCTCTTGCAGGAGGCTATTGGCAACTTGCTGAGCTGTAGTGCAGATGTGTCTGGCCAATCCTGACAGCACCCGTCCCTCCCCTTTTGATTTGCCAAGACAGGATAATTAGCGAAGCTCACAGTCAGGAATAAATCGTGCAAAGCCATCAGCTTTGTCAGACACAAAATGGCCCATCTTTTATGACGCCCTTCTTTCGTGCTAAGGAGTTCCCAGAACCCTGGCGGAGCTCCACGAAGACCCCTGCCACAAGCTGACCCACCAGGTCTCAGGCTGAGAACTAGAGCCTATTCGAGTTAAGGGGATCAGGTTCGGTTCGATCAGAGAATGGCTAGTGGACCAATCACAGCTGATCAATGTTCCAGAGACTTGGGTTCCTTGTCTTTGGCGATGCCGTGCTCGTGCAGATGATCGCCCTTGTTCCCCTGAATTCTTTGTCTCTTTATGTCTTTGTTGATTGTGGTACAATGTGCAGAATGTCTCTACCCTTTTCTTTGTCTTGACTGTGTTTAAGATATCTGCAAGTTGTTGATCAACAACCATCAAACCGAGACATGAAGATGCCGATCCTTACAAGACGCATGCGGCCTGTGCTATTCATTGGCGATGATCAACAGGCGGGAAACTTCAAGGAGCAAGGCAATACTCCATAGCGCATGCTCAAACAGACCAATAGGCCAATACTACCCCCAGATGCATAGAGCGCCCCCCTTGACGCCCTCGTGCATGGTTTGGTTAGTCTCACTGGCGAACCGGAACGATATCGCAACTGGAAAGGCCGATATTCAAACCTGGCTGAGCTGGGCTGAACCAGACCTGTCACTTGACAGCCACGGCTGAAATATTACCTGTCTTCTCCAATGACAGTGGCATTTCTTATTCAAAGCTGGCCTTAGATTGGCGAGGCCTTTGGCTTTTTGACTAGGGGTAATTAATGTGAAGAAAGGAAGGAGCATTATTTCCCCATCTTGGTCAGAATTGGGTCCTCTCCCGCTCTTTCCGCAATCTCGAATCCAATAGTCCTCCTCTCCTTCCGAAAAGTCTCACCCTCTTTTCTTCTTCGATCTAACATTCTGCATCTTTGGGCTCCCTTCTTTACTTTCCCCCGTTCATTCCTCATCTAAGACTGCGACTGCGACTGCGACTGAGACCACCGAAAAGCAAACTAGCAAGAGTCCGTTCTATCCACGACTTGCGTCCATCCGTATTGTGTTGTCTTGTTAGTGGGACCGTACTATCCAAACTGTCCGCGCGCACCTTTGCTTTACAGCATCGACCACTCGTAGGTCACGACTTTTGCTCAAGCGTCGCAAGCAAACAAGCAAGCAAGAGCTTCACTAGCCGCCCTCGGCTCTTCGTGTACGGCCTTGCCCTGCCTTTGCTATACGGTACTTCGCTGTGCCCGACTGTTGCATTGCTTCGTCTCATAGCCGAGCATCCTCGTCTTGCCTTGCTTTAGCATTTTGCGCTGCCTTTGACGCCCTGCGCTTAAGCGCCCGTCCTGTGCCGCATTCCGTACCTTACTTACCCAGTTCTTGGTACACGTCAACATTCCTCGAGGGCTGTTCCAAGACACCATTACGGCGCTTACTGCCCATCACCTTTCAGGGCTCCTCGTCAGGTCATTGGCTGTCAACCACCTACAACTAAATTCGCTCTAATTTGAGAGACTCACATCCAATCGTTGACAACCAGTATAGAGTCTCTAACACCACTTCGCGCCTGTCTGAACATGCGACGAACACCTCATGGTGTTTCATCAGCCTCCTATTATTGCTTAATCTCGACCTGTCCGAATCCCCGGCATCAAAGCCTATAGGCGCTGTCGTGGATCTTGGCTGGTTTCCCAGATTAGTACCAATCTCATCATTTATCCCCACGGCGACCTGTGTAACGGGTGCCTACATATTAACTGTAGTAAGAGCCCGTCGCCCGTCGCCTGTCATGGATCCATCAACGACTCTCTTCACTTTCTTGTTGTGAGTTCGGACCATTTCTTCTTTCTTTTGTTACTTTCTTTTCGTTTATTTGCTTGTTTGCTCCCTTACTT